AATACTCCTGAATAAGGTTCACAAGACGTTTTCTATCCTCACTGACCAAAGGAGTTTTAATATTTTCAAATTTTACCGTATTAATGTGACAAACCGATAACGAGCTATCAGTTCTACTAAGTAGTTGTTTACCGTCAACCCGAGTATATTGCAACCCTTTACGATTAAGTACATCTGTACCTAATAAAATTGGAGCATTTATACACTCTGGGCAAACAACATACAAATCTACTTCAAGTTTTAATTCAGGAAATTCAATAGTAGTCGTTATGTATGATGTCGATTCAATTTCCTGACTTCCTATACCACGTAATAAACGATAAGTAGGTTGTCTATTAAAATTGAAATGTTTTAAAACCGATTGCGAAACAAGAGAAATCTCGGACCCACTATCAATCAACACATCTATATTTTTACCTTGAATTATGGCTGAAATTAGGTTGTTTCGTTTGGGGGTAGATTTTTGCAAAAATTTACTTCACTATTATTTGGAACCGTACTAAGTGAACGTTGTTTCGAATAACACGTGTCAACCAAATGACCGTTACGTCGGCAAAAAGTGCAGAACATTACAGATCTTTTACTCGTGTCTGAAGACGGCACTAATTTTAATTTATCCGAGACATGCGCGGGACCTGGAGCGTCAGTGTTAACCCTCTTGTGACACTGCCACTTTTTATGACCCTTCTGACCACAGTTGCCGCATTTATTCGGATTCTTATCATTATTTGGGTATTTTCGCGACAAGGAATGATGAAAATGACGGGAATTATTAGAATTACGTGACTCAATTTTAGGTTTAACATACACGGTAAGATATTCGATTAAATTGTTTGGCGTTAGTTTGGCATTGACCGCCGCTGCCTTAACCTGAGGATCGGTTATACCACGCAGAATTATGGCAATTTTCAATTCGTCTGATAAACCCTTCACAACCTGAAGACGTAAAAGAGATCTACGAGCATATTCGGCATAAGTTGGGTACTTATCAGATTTGGTGCACATAACGTCAAACAAAATAGAGGCTAGATCAATGTAACGCGGACACAAGGACTTAAATTCGGTCTTAAAATTACTCCACGACCTATCATGAGTCACCCAATCACTTAACCACGAACGCGCTTCGCCTCGTAAGCAAGCACCAACACGTCCTAAACATTCGCGATCGCCCCAATTGTTCAAGTTACGTGCGCGATCTACCTCCGCGCACCAAATGTCAAAGTCATGAATGTTCGGATCAAATAGCGAAATGTAATAATTGCGGGTATTTGAGCGTAACAATTCGGATAATGCCCCAACAATGCTGGTTGTTGCACTTTGCGCATCACCTCCCGTATCCAAGGTGCTACGCGTCGTATCCTCCGTCGTTACGTCCCCAACGGTTGCAGAACCTTGCTCAGGTATTGAAACCGCTAAAGGCAGCAACGGCGGCGGTAATGGTCGGCCGTTCGTTAGATGGGACGGGTTATCACTACGCGAAACTTTGGACTTTGATTGAATTTGACCTTCAATAACGTCTAGCCGTGAAAGTATTCGTTCCAAGGCACTATTATTTTCACGAGAGCAGTCCCGGCGGTGACGGGATACGAACCGTTGTTCAGAACTATCGCGATGTCGACTCGAATAACGTTCTCGATGTCGACGGCGTAACGGAGGCGTATCACGACCACTAGAAACACTATGCCTATCACGGGACCTAGACCTAGTACCAGACCTAACACGTTCCCCGATGCAGTCGCGATCCCTAGATCTACTTGAGCGATTCGACATCGTCACAAACGCGATTGATTAACTAAACTGAAATGTGGGTAGAATCACAAAAATTAAATCACAAAACTAAGTTGGATAACACCAGCGGTTAGATCGCGTATCTTAGCGAATCCCACTTCTGATCTTATAAACACTAAAAAATAAGATTTAAAAAAAAAACACACGGAAGCATAACCTAATAGACTGATGTCTTATTTATTAATAAATAGAAAGGTACATGAGCAGTACAATTGATATGAGTATTACCAACCCAATACAACAATATTATAAGTAGCTGATATAGCAACAAGTACACAATAACAATTAGGCACAATATTTAAGTAATAAACAATATCACCGATATTCGCCCGACTCCATCCAACTGCAACGACCGACTGAACTTAATGCTACAATTGTCACCATTTTTATATTATTCCGCTCGGTCCAGGCTTCGGGGAGAGGGATACTTGTAAGAGTATATATATATTTTTTTTGTGTTCTAGATAAATCTATCTATCTATATTATTACATATAATAAAATTGTAGAAAAGTGCTGTCTGTACATGGAAAATAAAAATAAAAAAAATAGCAGGGGTTATTGTTATGTCGATGTCGAACCCAAAAATGTAATTAACTTTTTTTTTGTCTGTTTGTCTGTTCACGCTAATCTCAGAAACGGCTAATCCGAGTTGGATGCGGTTTTCACGAATATATTGTGGTATGCTTTAGTTATGCTTTAGTGTTTGTTTCATGTCAATCGGTTCTTAAAAAAAATGTTATGTCAAATTCAAGAATCACGTCGAACACTATTCTATGCTTATACATACATAGGCATCAATAATCTCCGCAACTATTTGACGGATTTGGTTGAAATTTTGTACCGACATAATGATCCAAAATAAAAATAAGTATATATTTAAAAAAAAAACGCTGTTCATAGTCACTATTCCACGCGAACGAAGTCGCGGGCACAGCTAGTAAGTAAATATAACGAAAAGACTATTTGTAATATTAGGTACTCCGATTATTTGTAACGTTTCAGTCAGTAACCAAATATTTATTTTTATAAAATCATGTAATTGTTTATATTTTCCAAGGAAAATAGAACTTTATTTTGGATATACGAGATTAAATTAGGTATAAAAACGGCAGGCGCTGTGAAAAGGGTTTCTAGTGCTATATTACGGAGTAGATGTAGGTAGGTTTTTTATTTTCATACATACCTACAACCTCCATAGTCCAAGTTACAAATTGTAATACTAGCCATTATTCTTGAAACAAATTATAAATTGTCATTAGATAGAAATAAAAAGAAATGAAAAATAAACTTTAATGGCATCTATAGATTTTTGTAACATTTCTGCCAGTGAACTAATGTTTTTCAATAAGCAGAAAATCCTCTGTATTAAATTCTGTTTTACCCTCACCTGTAAGGGGATGTAAGCTATATTAAACTGACTACAATTGTGCCTACAATAAGCTCCAGTTCTGGTGCCTAAACAGAGATGCTATTTAATAACTCAGAACAAACTGAACCTAGCTTTATTCCCTAAACACTCCCTCCCTAGGTAGTGACCTATTACTGCTTACTTAGACGAGTTAACAAAATCATAAGTTTTCTTCTCGTCATCGATGCAAGTTTGGAAATAAAACGAATTTAGAATAACATGGCATATTATTTATTATCATAAAAATGATAACCTTAGATCCTAACAATTTTCATACAGTAACAGTACAGTGAAAACAATATATAACTTGAATACGTAAAATGGTTTACATAATATATTCCATTAACTTCTTAACAAATACAAAATGGAGGGAACTCAGTAACGTTGAGTTAAGCAGGGTAATTTTGTTTATTATGACATTACTTTGGATAATACGAAGCAATAGACAATATTAAAAACTACTTCTATTTATTAGTTAAAGTACATATTAATAAAAATATAATATTACGGCGGATTACACATTATAATATGTATCGAATTGAACCATTAGGCACAGTATTGATCTAGATTCAAGTACAAGTCTAGCATGATTTCTTGTGTTCATAAAACTTATTTAAATATTCCGAATCAAAGAGTTTCAATTATATTCTTTTTTTAAATACAATTATTTTGAATTTCGACATATTGGGTAATACAAATAGTATATTATTTATTCATTATACGTTTTTAAAGTTACATTTCCTTCGGATTTGTCTATGTCTACTAAATACATAATACACATTAAAAATCGTAAATTCGTGATTGAGGTTTTTTATCTAAGACTTATTTTATTAGAAGATATCTAATAATATTTATACATAAACTTAATTTTCGTCATAGACTTACAATAGTTGTAAAAGCAGTTCTTTTTGAAGCAAAACCATTCTGCGAAAAGCAATATAATTGACCACTACGTGGGTAATCTTAGAACAACACTTGACAAAACTTACATTAAAATAAAACAATGCATTAACTCCTTAATTCTAATCAATACATTTTATCTTCATATAAATACTTAATACTATAAATAATTCATGGTTAGTCCTATTTACAAATGCACACCCTCCGTTCTACGATACGAGTAATAATTAATAACTACAATGTGTTAAGTTTACAAGTATCCGAGTAACCTTTATAGAAAGTAAATAATTTATAATTAAGTGACCATTTTTGATGTTTTTGATTATGATAACGAAATGAAAAAGTATTTATTTACAATAAAATGAAATGAAATGAAACTGATTTCTACACGTTAGGATAATGTTAATATTAATGTCAGTATAAAGCTTGTTGGTATATAAAATACTTGTTCAGTATTTGTCTATAAAATTCAAGGACGCTGTAGAGAGAACAATATACAGATCATAAATTTAATTTAAAAATACAATAGCATTCACAATAATCATATTTTACGTTTTCTATGTCTATATATATATATATATATATATAGGTATAGATCCTAGCTCTACAGGTACTTACAAGAATACCTAACTACTAAAATGGACGGTAGCACAAGTGAGACTACTCTGCCTCACCGGCAGAATGTGAGTATGTTCCACTTTATTCATGCATTGCTTTATCACAGCGTATACTATTTTAAAACATAACTTAAGGGCGTGACATGTGGTTCGTACCGATGACGTATTTATCCAGTGCTAGTGAGGTCCAATTATGGATTTTAAACCAAATAGTTAATTTTGTAAGAAATTAACAGGTTGCCCAGTTATGCAGTGTGAAATTTAGTTACTTTACATTTTCTTCTTCAACTATGTATTGGATGTGGATGTGATGGATATATAAAATTTTATTGTCTTCAAATTAAACTGAAAGTTATGTACTCTAATAAATTACAGAATTGAAACAGAATCTCAGTACTTATATTGGTCACTGGACACTGATCAGTCACTGGGACAATAACGACATGGCTCGAATGAGATACACTCACTAACAACCTAACTTACCACTAGAGGGTGGCTGTACGATCACGTGTAACAGTTGTCTTCATCAGCGTGGTCAGAGCAGTCGATGGTGCCATCGCAGAGTTGTGCTAATGTGATGCAGCGGCCGTCCACGCAGCGCAGTTCACCACTCGGGCAAGGTGAGGTATGCGCGCGTGACCATTCTTCCCTGCCAAAGTCACCTGCACTGCCGCCTGGTGTAGTCCTCCGACTGCCATCTGCACTAGCTGGTTGGACTGCTCCAGTGACGGCAGTTTGAAAGCGCTTAGGTATAGCAGGCACTATAAGTGTGTCGTCTTTATCCGCATTCACGTAGGTCTCGTTCAAAGAAGAATCATCTGTTGCTGCTTCAGCCGCCTGTGCAGCTTGTGCTTTCTGCAATATTTTTTTGTAAATTAGTATTTATTTTAAAAGATTTATTGATATTTTCAACAGGCATGCATATTTAAGTACCTATCTAAATGAAAACAGGAATGCTAGAAAAATACTAAAATAATGTTTACCCTTAAGAGTCCAGCGCCATCAATAACTCTGTCCAAATTGTTGGATTGTTTATCCAAACGAGTGGCTTTTGTCGCCTCTATGAGGGCTGTCGGGTTGGGTGGGGGTACTCCAAACTTCGTCATTGGCTTCGTGTGGTGCCCTGTTTTTGTGTCACTATGAGTTTGTTCTTTGCCCTCCTTTTCAAATTCATCGAAAAAGCCTAGATCTCCCATGTTAACGTCTTCGATCGATTCATTTTCCGAGGTCTTTTGCGTGGGCTTATCTCCCTCAGACTTTTTCACGTCAACTTCCTTTGCATTGTTCTCTGTTGTAATCTCTTTTTTGGTGTCTTGATGTTTGCCTCGCATATGGCTATGATGATAATGAGACAACCTTGGAGGTAGGGGCCGGCGCGTGTAATTTCTTTTTAAACCATTATTACTGTCGCTCGTAATAAGAAGTTCCTTGCTGCTTTCATTTTCTAGAAGAAAAAATGTTAAAGAGATATAAAAAAGTTAAATATTAGACATTCAGTTTTCATTACACAATAAAATATAAAGTTAAAGCTTACCACTGCGGTGACTGGAGACCTTCTGTCCAATAGGTACTCTGTTTGGTCTCCGGATGGCTGGTGCCGGAGCGGAGCCTGCAGATTCTTCACCTGGCTCGCGAATATCGGAAGCAGTTTGCACTTGACTAGGTTCTAGAGTTTCGGTAATAAATGTATGTTGGCTGTGTGCCACAGGTTTCAATATGTTCGTCGTCGCCGTCGGGACAGTCCGAGTAGCCATCGCAAAGCCAACGTTTTAGGATGCACCCACCAGATCTACAGCTGTAAAAAAAACACAATTTTTTTCATATTTCTAAGCTTGTTTTACTATGTATAAGATCTAATCCGTATAAGTTCTGACAGATTATTAAAAAATGTATGTATGTATATTTAAAAACAAGAATATTATTAGCTGTTTTGACGTGAAAGAGTAAAAACACACACACACACACACACATATCCTCCCAAATTTTTGCATTTATAATATTATAGCAGATATTATAATTACCGGTATTCGGCTTGTTCGCACTGAACGCATGTAGCTTCATCTTCTCCAGCGGAACAATCCTTGGTACCATCACAGATCCAATCTCTTGGAACACAGGACCCGTCGCCGCAGCCGAATTCACGAGGGTAGCATGGAGTCTTTGCTTCCACGCAGTTAGTACGCGCGTACTGCTTGCAGTTGAAAGCCGGGGTCAACTCAGCGGGAATTTGACCGTCACACGAGTCCAAGATTGCTGAAATTAGGGTAAGAATATTTCGCTTACACTTATGTAAACCTAATTTATAAATAAAGTAATGAATTGGCTTCAGTGAGCTAACATACCTTTGCAAAGACTGTAACACGGCTTTTTCAGAGGATAAGGTGGGGCATTGCATTCAGGTTCAAGTAGGGCACACATGAAGTGCTTGACACGGTCACTGCAATTAGTAGACACCAAGTAGTCTATCTGGGGCAGGAGAGATGTGATTTCCATATTTCCAATCTTCGCTGGCGCTCCTGCCAAGTCGTACGGAAGGACGCCTCGACAGAGAGCCAAACGAGGCGAACGACACTGAACTGAAAAAAATAATGGACTAGTTGGTACCATACCTCTCTATTTTCATAAATCACACCAATGAAACAAACAAAAGTATATTAGTTACACATTCACAATAAACATTAACCCTCGAACCCCCATTATTGCTACAAATAGGTACAACAATGTGAAAGATATGAAGTTATCTTCAGTACCTACGTACCATTTTCTTCATTTATATAGATGGTCCCGCATGCCCCTCGGAATAAAAATTAAAGACTTACCCTCTGAGTAGACATTGGACGGGTATTTTTTAGTGGTTGTGTCATCTCCATCACGCCACGTCGGAAGCGTGGGGGACACTCTGGTGTTGTACAAAGAGCTTTGTGTTGTCGATTTCATTTTTTCTGCATCCTCTATAGATATACCAAATAGCTTTGAATGACCTGAGGTGAAGTTGACGTCGTCAGTATTGGGGCGGCGACTGTAAAACTCTTGTACTTCGAGCGGCACACGCTGGTCTCTATCACGTTCGCGGTTGTACAGGATTGGCTGGGTGTATTCCTTGTGGGTAGACTGATGCATTTTTACAGACGCCGACGGCGCCACAATTTTATTGGTCACTTGTTTGTGTTCATGAGTGGTGAAATCATTTATAGTTTCAGCTCTATTTATGACCTCTGTCGTCGTGGTTAACGCTTCATTGAAATAAACTTCTATAGGTTTTTCAGGTTTTTGAGTAATATGTGGCTTCAACGTAGAGTCATTGCCATCGTCATTGTCGTCGTATACTTCAAACTGTTTTGGTGTTCTTAAACTGTAGAATCGGCTTTTTCGTTACCGTATTGAACTTCAGGTGTGATATGGGTCGGGAATACAGGAAATATGGGTAGCTTTCTTAAAGGATTTGTATTCTTATCAACTGAACTTATTTCGGAGTTTTTATTGTTTTCGGCGTCGTAGAAATCTATTTCCGACGGTTTCGAACCTGCAATTATGTGATTGGAAAATATTTGTAGGAACAGGAGTTTTTTTCAGTTAGTTCGAATACACAGTACCCACATACATGGTTAATTGTCCCACATATCGAAGGTAAGATCGTGAGATGTATTGTGTAGGTAGGTAACATGAAACATTCACTCGTGATATAACAAAATTAGTGCTTCTCATAGATAAGTACCTAAGATATAATTTGTGTGGTTGGTGAATTGAAACATTTGTGACCAAATTCGGATACATTTCATATAAATACACCATTATTAATTCTACAAATAATATAAAACTTACTCATACCATAGTGCATTCATAAGAGGAATATGACAGATAAATAAATGAATACATACGACATTGAATTCCTAGAGGGAAAAGCAGCGCCGTGCAAGCATTTGTAGTATTAATACCTAACTCTCCTTTGAGTTACATTGTAAAATCGGGTAATACCTACCTCTTTGTGTTTAGGTACATGAACCATACATGTTTTGTCACAAATATGTTGTCATTATTAGCTTTTCTAGAATACTGAATAGTCTTCTGTGTGTTAATTCAAATTGAGTCACTTCGTAAGCTACATTCTATGAAATGACTTAAGTATTTAGGTATAAAGAATTATTCACCGTCGTGTGTTGTTATTAATTAGGTAATAATTATAATTCTTACCGCGTTCTTCGTTCACTGGTTTCTTTTTGTGATGTTCCCTTTGTGAATCATGACGAGGCCTATGTCCAGCCACGACAGGCTCCCAGTACGTCCCGTTCTGACCGAAGCCGACTCCAAGTTGTCTGGAATTGTAAGGTTAAACATGAGATAATGCGATTGGAAGATTGGAGGCAAATTATACTTTGCGCCTGCATTTTTATACATAGCAAGGAAATTTGAAATTGTGTTTATATGAATACTAAATTTAAAAACGAGACGTCACAATATTTCACATGCTCGTTGATTCGTGTGTTCAAAATTCACACACATTGCACCCAGACCACTAATAATATTAGAGATTACGTTACATTTCATGCGGGAATAGGCCCCGCAACTCACTCACCCAGTCACATAAAAATAATACAACAAAAATATAAAGTTCTTGAGACGTTCGCTGTTCTGTTCGTTCTGTAGTGAGTTCATTATTTATGTTGCTCGAAACTATCAACAGGCGTTAAATATTTCCTTGTTAGATATAAGCTCCATTTCAAAGCCTCTTCTCCAATTTAAATAATATGTCGTTTATTTATACATAGGATAATTGTAAAACATAAAATATCAAAATTTTGATGCCTTTTAGTTTTACAACAACCGATAGAAGATTGAGCAATTAGGAGATTAAACACCTTCATTGGATAGTAGCCGACATTCTATTTCAGACTAGTAGCTATAAATCAATAAACTTATACACCGTCGATTGAATAGCCGATTAATTATGACGCGTGCCAAAAACCTACAAACGTTAACGAGTTATTATTAAAATAAATTGAAATATACTCATATACAACGCAGATACATTTAATTTAAATCACTGCATATTGAAAATCATTGATTTTAATAGACTCCTTCTAATTTACGATTTTGTATGCAATTTTAATCGAAATACTTAACCACTAATAACATACATTTTGAGACATGATTACTTCTTAAGTGGATACTTATTTTATTCAATTTCAGTAATAAACTGCTTGAAAAATGAATATTGGATGTAATAAATAAATGTTGCGTACTTTACATTCGTTATAAGATACTTCAACATCTAATAGGTGTCCAAAAAATTATGTACTTTTCATACTGAATTATTGAACAAATCGTTTTGTAAAGATAATGACAACATTTGTATTACGCAGTTAGTCCAAGCACTAATTGTGGTGACCGGTAGCTAGACGCTAGACTTTTACATTAAATAACATTGTAACTGAGATGTTACGTCGTATCATCTTGTCTTTTAAGTACTGGTTTATAATGACAACTTTGATGATCTTAGAATTACTCATTCTCGTCATCTACTAGATTCTAGTAATCTAGTTAATAGTTTTATCTAGTCTACATAACGGCCCTTTCTTCATTTATATAGTTTGTTTTTATCCGTTTCGTTATAATTATTTTTGTGTTAAAACTACCACATTATTTGAGTGCTTTTTTCAGTGTGGAATGTAGTTACATTTATTAGTTATATACATCAGAATCGGCTCCATAATCGTTGTAGGAAGCTCGAGTATCATTGAGAGTGAAGCCGCGTGTCGGTGAAAGCTTGGTTCAAGATGTCACGGCACTCCTCGTGTCAGCCTAGTCTCGTCATTAATCCTTATCGTGGTTACACAATATACATACATAAGTAATGCGGTGGGTAAATATTGCTCCCGTTGTTAGTGTCATAGGTGAGCACCGGGACTTCGTTCACGACTATATTTTGTTATTAATGCCATGTGCATTAGGTGTGTGCGATGTGTTTACCGGAACATGCTGTTTTGTAATTTTAATAATGTTATTTTGGGAAATGAACTCCAGTGAATAAATTAATAACAACTAATGGGACTCATTATTTCTGCTGCCTCCAAATTATTCGCAGTGAAATAATCCTCCAACGAGTCTAACTAAAAATGTAGTAGAGACGGTCTAAGCGGGTGGTGGAGAGAATCTAGTTATAGCTGCCAATATAACTATAAGTACCTAAATTACTTAAGTATTCGAATCTAATTATGATTTAGTGGAAAAATTACGGAAAAATAAAAAATATTCAGTGTAAACTTTTTAAAGTGCCAGAATATTGTTGGCTCGACCTTGTCGTACCCTTGCTTATACCAAGTATATTTCATCACATAAACAATTTAACTTTTAGGGATAATCTGACAACCCAACATTTTCGTAAGCAATAGAGTTGCATTTCGCTCAAGTTCTTCGCGGCACAGAACAATTTCGCAGAAATGACTTAACCGATATACGGGATGTAGTCTAGGCTCCCTGTAACACGTATCCTACTTTGTAAGTAATTAAAATGATTACATGTTACATAACGCCGTGAGGCGTGTTGGATGCAATTTGAGAACTAGTGCTGTGGCGATGTTGGAGACTATTAGCCCAGGTACCTAGGTACGAGGAGTCATTAGGTAATTTAGTAGATAACTGCTTTACACATAAGATAAGCGGTACTGTCCCAGCCCACAGGCAGCCAGGCGGCCACACCTCGGCAACACATATCAACTGTCGTAGCCCTACTAGTTATAAACGTCCTTAATTACAACTATACGTTACTAATTCCATCGCGATAAATTGTTTTGCAAATCGAATGGAACATGGTTAAGTACTTAATACACGTATATAATAGTTTTAATGACATTTACATTATGTTTAAGAATAAATAAAAGATATTATAAAGTCTTCTTTTGACGGTGAAAATCATCTAAGGACGTCTCTCGCCTTGTGTTTGGCAAAAGAGTTTCAGAGTCTTACTGACAGAAACCCACCGCGTTGCTATTCCTGCTTAGATTCGGAGCTCCGGTAAAGCGGTAGCCCGTTAGGTTGTCCGCAGCTCTGGATTTGGCAGCAGGCCGACTGGGACCCATCTGTGGTGGTCTGATGACTATTCGAGAAGCACGCGGAACGCAAAGCGCCGTACGCACGGGGCTACTTCTTTAATTATCGCTTTTGAACTGAAATTTATCTTGATGAAATTACATTTTCAATCAAAAGCAAATACATGTACTTTATTCTGAAAATCGATGCCTTAAAGTACACCTACAATCTACAGATCGTATATAGAAGTACCTACTGGAAACTTCCTCCTTTCTCCGAAAATCAATTTAAAACCGCAACCATTTTATTGTCTTCAATCATACATTCATACTTATACGTAATGATTGCAACAATACGGTTATTAAATCGATACTGGAAGTACTAAAGTACCTATACATTAGCATCAACAGATAGCAACAACAACCTTCAATTAATTTTCGTAATTGTTTTCGCGTGAATCCGCATTTGATTATACTCGTATGTCTTCACGTTTTGCATACTGTAATTAACAGAAAGTGCTGAACGGATTGTATTGTATTGGTATAATACACTTGATTGTAAATAACGTGGGTGTCAGTAGAAAGAACGTGTTGTGTTTAGTGTTGCCCAAATTCAGTCTTGGTCTTGCAGTCTTGGTCTTGTTCTTGCGTTTTTGCAAGACCAAGACCAAGAACAAGACCGCGTATTTTTAGCAAGACCAAGACCAAGACTGACCGTGCAAGACTTGAGCAAGAACAAGACATAGCCTGCAAGACTCTTGCGTCTTGCAGCTAGGACTTAGCGCTATTTCACTGAGTAGTTAGGTGTAACATTTCGGTGTATAGGTAAGTACGTACGCTTAGGAATTCTATGAGACGCAAAAAACTGTATCAAAGAATATGAAAAACTGGACCTATGCGCATTACGACTAATGCCATAAACATAGCGAATAAAAAAATATCTATTAAAATCAAACTGAGTGCATGCATAGTTATGTTTTAACCATCGGCACTTTGGTAATGCGGCATCAAAGGTTTTGTACTTACTTCTCAAAGAAATTTGCCGCTTTTCGGAAGTACATGGTTATGATACACGCGCCGGCGGCTTCTTTTGAAATCTAAAACAATCGTTGCCGCCACGCCGAAATCATAACATTTGACACTATTTGATTGCCGCCATAGGGCGTAGGTATACTCATGCAAAATAATTTCGAATTTTAAGAGTACCTACAGGTGTTCCAAAGAATAAATAAGTTTTAGAGTGCTTAGAATGAAAATGAATACATTATACTGATCACGCAAGTAGTATTATAATTAGGATAAAATGGTAAGGATAGGTAGTAGATGTCTCGCCATCAAACGTTACAGTTTGGCGAGTTTAGTTTTTAAGGACACAATTTGTAATAAGTTCACTGAATAAATTATTTAAAAAAAAAAAAAATTAATTCTAGTAAGTATATATTACGTATATAACAGGAGTCTTTCTGTCTTACATAGACAGAAAGACTCCTGTTATAGCATGTTTCTTGGATTTATCGAGGGCTTTCGACCTGGTCAATTATGATCTGCTCTGGCACAAGCTCACGCATGATACTACTGTCCCGTCTGATGTGATATCATTGTTTAGATATTGGTACAGTAGTCAAAAGAATACTGTTAATTGGGCTGGTAATTATTCTGACATGTATGGGCTTGACTGTGGTGTAAGGCAGGGAGGTCTGACCTCTCCGCGTCTTTTCAACCTATACATAAATAAACTGATGGGTAGACTCAGTAGCACTAAAATTGGATGTCACGTTGACGGTGTCTGCGTGAACAACATCAGTTACGCTGATGATATGGTGCTGCTGTGTCCATCTATCAGCGCAATGAGAAGACTTCTTAAAATTTGTGAAAGCTATGCGGTTGCCCACGGACTTAAATACAATACCCATAAGAGTGAATGGTTGGTCTTTAAATCAGGTACTTTAAACTTCAAACAACTGCCTGAACTCTCACTCTCTGGGTCTCGATTAGGTCGGGTTTCGAAGTTCAAGTATTTGGGTCACTGGGTCACTGATGACTTAAAAGACAATGCAGATATAGACAGGGAGCGCAGGTCGCTGGCTGTACGCTGCAACATGCTGGCCCGCAGGTTTGCACGCTGTACGGAATCCGTAAAAATAACGCTTTTTAAGGCCTTTTGCCAGTCGTTTTACACGTGCAGCTGTGGGACCATGTATACCAGCGGGCATACAGCGATCTGCGCGTGCAGTACAATGGCGCATTTAGGGTGCTTTTGGGGTTGCCGTGGCGATGTAGCGCGTCAGGGATGTTCGCGGATGCATGTGTGGATGGGTTCGCCGCGATCATGCGGAAGAGATGCGCCTCAATGTTGGCGCGCCTGCGTTCTTCCTCCAATGGCATCCTGAGTGTGTTCATTGACCGGTGGGACTCTCCCCTGTTACGTAGATGGATAAGTATCCAGACTCACTTATCCAAATAAAGTAATGAACATATAATTATTATAATTTACTAACATTAGGCTAAGTTGTACTACTACTAACATAAATATGGATGTTTTATCTGAAATAAAAATTTTGAATTTGAATTTGAATTATAATATTGATTACTTATATGGTTTTAAACTAATTACTTAGGTACTATTATTGTACATTTAGTCATTATATTTCTTAATCTTCAGTTATTTATTAATCTGCTTGATCTTTACTATGGCTATGTTAATTCAAGCTCACAATGTTCCAATTCTAATACGTTTTTCTAAGATTTAAAGTAAAATTTAATAAATAGTAATAGACTAATAGGTAATTGCAAGACTTGCAAGACTCTTGCTGCAAGACCAAGACCAAGACCAAGACTGGGAGCGCAAGACCAAGACCAAGACCAAGACCAGGTGTATTGGCGCAAGACCAAGACCAAGACTGGCTAAGTCTCGTCTTGTTCTTGCATTTGGGCAACACTAGTTGTGTTGGTGTGGGTGTGTGGTTAGTAACCAATTCTTTTTATGTAAAACCTAATAATAATAGCCTTTTTCCTTTGGAAAATAAGGTTAAGTTGTTTGATAACAACCTTTTTTTCGTCTTGATTTAAGTCATAAAATAATAATTATGCTCGCTAGCCAATATTCTATTGAAATTAAGTAAGGCCACAAAAATCAAGAGGAAGAAAATATTTAAAGTTTACAATATAAAAAAACAAGCGACTGTTTGGAATCCAGACTAAACAACAATTCATTTGGTCTTTGTTGATTTTATTGTTATTGATTATACAGACACCACTGCATTCTAATCAGAATGATTTGAATAGATCTCTAGTAATAACAAACAACACGACGGAAGCGAAATAGTAAACCTCGTATGCCATTTTAAGTGCTCTTATTTATGTGTTGACTTCTTTAACTTTCATTATATTGCAAAATTATTCCAGTTATATAAAACACTGCGTAACGACGATGAGCATTCATTTTGTCTATCTAAAAAGGAAAAGAAATGCGAAAACGTGGAGGTCGTATAAAAATAAATTCACCTACATGGCTTTATGGATGCACAAAAGTATCAGCGAGGTCAACTTTCGTTTTTACGTATCCTTCGCAAATAAAAACACAATATGAGAGCAACAAAGGAGACTGGAGCGCATCCGGTCGCTTGCGGCGCGGCGCAAGCTCAGCGCGACCATGTCGGTGGGACACCCCACGCAATCAAATTATTGCTCACCACAATTTTACATTACCATTTAAAAATCTGTTATTAAAAATCCCTTCGCGTGTGAGATGTGAAAGTGACTGAATATTTATGAAGAGATCAAAAGTTTCGAGAGCCTCGTACTCTTATCAAAGTACAATTTGCACATGAAAAGGACTATAATTGCTTTGAAAGTTATTTTACGATGTATTTCAGCTTCCACATCGAGGGCAATTACTGATCTTAAGGCAAAAATTAACATTACAGACTTTCTATATGCAAATTCTCATTTATTTTTAGACCAGGTCATGGCGATAAAGGAGTCAAATAAAATATTGATTGAATAAAATTATGATGGATTCGTCAATAAAAGTTTTGGTCAACTAGAATCCAATTACGTTTATTAGACGATAAAAGTAATAAATAGCTGTTACGTGTTGATAGATACGTCTGTTGCTAAATTATATGTTGGGTGTCTAAACAGTTTTTGTCAAACAAGTTGTATGAGGTGTTGATATAACAAAGCTATATGTTACCAAGTCCATAGTTGTGCGGGTATTTCTACAATCGTGTCTGTGTTACGTGTAGATTTAACCTCTGACATCGCTCGTGCCGACCGGCGCGTCTTCACCGGAACCCGAGTGAACTCTATCACATTATAATAACGACTTTCGATCAACTCAAATAGCGTCTGATATAACCGACATTATGTCAAAATCTTCCCAGATGTTAATTAAGTTCCACTGATCTACGATACCACCTTATCTTTATTTTCACTGCCCCATTATCGTAACTAGTTGAATCGAACACGTTTTAATATCAAAACATAAAATTAATGAATACTGAAAGCATTTAATAAGGTGCTGATAGTAAGATATCGCGTTAACATTCTCACGAGAGTTCACGCGCGCTTTATATTGGTGCACCTAATAACCATATTGTACCAATGAAAGCAGATAACAGGGTAAAAGCGTTGCTCTCTCGACGGAAATCATAACCATTGATATAATAAAACAGTTGTAAAATATAAATGGGTTTAGAATGGTGGCCTGTGCTGTCTCTCGTCCATAAACATCAGTGATTTAGTTGTGGGAACTCGATACATCCGAATGTGGTGTCATTAACAACAATGGTGTCAATATCAGCTTTCGAGCAATACCCACGACACAAATATGCCCGGTATGATGCAAAGCTGCAGATATTGGAGCATTACGTTTGGGAAATTGAAAGTTCCGACGTGACCAATTCAACAAAGCCTTGTGTACACCATATATGTACATACTCAAAGAATAACTTCGGCTAATCGGAATTCTGTTCCTTTTATAGCTTCGAACAATTTTGGTAACTACGTATTATGATTGTCTAAAAACTGTTGAATTAAAAATGTTTGGTCATTTGCACTATTGATTGGTGGTAACCTTTTGGGTAGCGAGTCAACTTTGTTTTATGTTTGTAGTACAAAATAAAACACCTTGAAACTAATCAAGTTATACTTAGCTAGAGAGATATCTGATCAGGCAAGAAAGGTAAAAGGAGAACTGTTCACGATCGTATATAGGTAAACGGGTGAAAGGTATAGAAAGGCAGTAATTGACAAAAGGCTGTACCAAGTTATTTGTTACAAAAAGATACAATTGTGTGATAACAACTTCACCAGTTTTGTAAATAAATGTCAGTAATGATATATTTCTAAAGTGCGTAATAAGTTCAGCTTTCGTATTTGTTTGTCGTGTTCGCTTTCCCTTGGCTTATTACTTGATAAAAACTATATATATTAATTTATTCTGAATGTTTAATTTATTATTTTAAATTAAATTGCTCTGTGCAAGAATTAAAATCGCGTTTTTGTCCTTGCTACGTGATATGAATATTGTTAAAAATAGTGTTGTATGGATTCTTATGGAAAAGGAACTAGAAGGAAAGTGAAAAGAATTGAATAAGGGAGTATATGGATACAAAAAGCATTGTGACAACCTCAGTAAGGTAATTTCAAATAAGGACAAAATGACAAAAACACTTTTTTTATAGTTTCTTAGTTAATTACTTACCAGGCATAAGGAAGTACACGAAGATAGCGAGGGCGATGCACACTGCGATTAGTGCAACTGGCCATCTTAGTACACGCAACACCCGCGTCACTTTGCTGGCGCCAGTGTTGTTGTCCGTAGCCACCCGGTACAAGCTGTCGGGGTGGGATCCCTGAGGACAAAACATAGGGACTATTAATAAACTTGGCCATCAACCATTACCATGATTAAAGTAAAAAAATATTTAATATTCGTAAACTTGATTATCATTGCCATTATCAGTCTGCGTCACCTAAAAGGTAGCTAGCAAGAATGCCTATGGCATTAAGCCCATCTTTGTTCACGTTTATTGGTAAATTTCGACGAAATTAATGCTTTTTTCTTCGCACAGTCAGAAGAGAGCTTTCCAATAGAGTTGTAGATTTTCAGAAATAACGTTTGTTAACTTATACCAATTTATGAAGCATTTTGTGTCAAGAGTAAATAATTATAATTGAAAGGTAATAAAGGAGAAGAACAATTCGCCATAACTGTGTAATGTTTTAAAATGCAACGCAAGAGTATTGTAATTATTTTATTTTATTTACTCGTATGTATTATGTAGCTTTTGTATGTTTGTTTGTTATTACTAGAACAATAAGAAAATCCAAATTCTTTCATAGGATATATTATCTTACATTCCATAAATATTAATAAACAAAGTAAAACACATTCCTATCTACGCAGAACCGTCTTTATCATAAGGGCACTCGGGGCCCATGCCCAGGGCCCCGTCCGCAGGCTTTCGAAGAACCGACAATGTCTACGATACGACGGACACACACCTTTCACACACACGCACACACTGACGGTTTCGGTTCCCGCACGGAGCAAATGTTGGTGTGATCCACAAAACACTGTTTCGGGTCTGGGTGTCATGTGTATGTGAACTTGTATGTTTGTAAAGGCATCCACGATACAGGAGAAAATCCTAGTATAGTGCAACGTTAAAAATAATCATTTCACAAGGGCCCCGAATTATTGTGTGCCCAAGGGCCCCAGCGTAAGCTAAGGCGGCTCTGTCTGGATAACGTAGGTACCTAGAATGTAACTCCCCGAAAATGTACACCCCGAAAGGGTAGGCAGTTACAATGAAACACCCATTTTTCACTATTTATGTTATGACTCTCATGTAATAGGGGATGAGCCTATTGCCATATACCGGGCACAATTCCAGACCCCGTGCTACGACTAAGATTATTTTTTAAAACCCAGTAATATTTTGCCCGACCCGGGAATCGAACCCGAGACCCCTGGCCCGGCAGTCGTACTTGCGACCACTCGGCCAACGAGGCAGTCAGTACCTAGAATGTAATTGAATGGAAAGTAAGTAAACATCGGAAATGGAAAAATCGTCTATCTCCCAATTACATTTCTTCATGTAAATGATCAATAGTATACATTAAACGTTGAATACTGATAGTTGAAAGTTTTCGATAATGGATGCCATCAAGCAGTTTAAATTATGAGAAAAAATCCGCATGTCGTTAACAATAATGATTTAATAGGTGTACGGAATTGTGAGAGAACGCTTTGCAATAAAATATAAGAGTTTTATGGGTAAACATGTGTAGGCATTTGTCGATACACCCACATATCAAGCAGATTAACTATATTTATTCAAAACAAAACATAGTACATGTCCGAGTAACGTTACGTGATGCCCGATTCGAATAAAAATTTTATTATGTCATTTATATGGAAGAAAGTGGCCGCCTGTGTGCATACCACTTTTGTTAAGTAAGTACTATATAAAGCTTGCTATAATTTATGCAAGGAAGCCATACACGCTCACCGATCTTGCAGATAAACCACAATTATGAATATGCAGTCGACACGTGATCGATGACACTTTGATTAATACAATTTCAAATTCCACAAATTAGCTATTATCTAACAAATTCATTTTTCATTTAGAAAGTTACGTAATTTATATACCTATGTATGCATAGTAGGTATGAATGATATTATTATGTTGACAATTTTGAAATATCGGAAACGTCAGTAGGTACGCTTACATTAATAACAACTAGTTATGGACCAAAAGCTAATTTATCTCACATTATTATCATAAAGAAGTAAGGAATGTGGGCGGTATTTAAATTTCTCTAATCGATTGTAATTCGATTCTGATTTATGGGCGCTGTTAACATTTTTTAGGATAATAAATTGTAACCGAACGCATTCTTTAAACTTGATTTTTTGCTAATGAAAGAAAGTTGCATTTTTATAGAGTTATGCACTAAAGTCTGAATAAGTTTGGAAGATAAAGATCTAAACATATTCAGAAATATAATGGCTATGAATATGAAATGAGCCACAAATAATATTAATATTGGTAAACATCAAAATAGTATATCGAGTAGAATGGCCGTGTAGCACGAGAGCTCCCGCGGTGCTGGGTCGTCTTAATCCATACAAATCACGTATTAGCTGCTGAATGAAACAGTTCGTCCATCGCAATGTTCATTCGAAATATATGCAAGATTGCTACCGGGCTTCGTTTTAAATGAATCAAATGAATGCCATAAACATTGAATAGAATTAATGTGAAGCAATATACCAATTAAAACATTTGGTATTTTACGGCTTGAAGATATGCCATTTACATATTAATTATGTATTAGTTTGTCATTTGTTGTGAATCTTATTGGAAGTTTAGAAAGCGTTAGAAAACAAAGTGTCCTTATCAGATGGAAGTTTCAACAGAACGTCGAAGTTATTAATGATAGTATCTTATTACGGAAACTACTTACATTCTTATTTGTAGTAAAATAAAATATTGATTTAGATCCCTTTGAAAAATGATACGGGTGCACACGATTCATCACTATCACGTAAATTCAGTTAAGTACTATTAACAAAATGGTAAAGGACGTAGTAAATGTAACAAATCAATGAATTAACAATAATGTGTGTTTACCGGACTACCGACTAGTAATTACTGTTGTGTAAGTAACATACATTTCTATGAAAACAATAGAAATACATACAATCAAGATGCTTCCTATTCAATCCTGTATGTTTGTTCATCTGGTTTCTTTCTTGCTTTCTTCCTGCGGCTTCACTCGCGTGAAATATAAATATTTCTCTCAAGATAGTCGCGATCCAGCATGAATATTGATATGAACAATAACCTTCCTTGCAGTCGAGTGAAAATAACTTACTGTGTCTTATGTTCCACACTGAAACAGTGATCACCGTTAAACAGTAACTATCACTTTACTAAATGTCATTTAACCTGACGTGACGTAGTACCTAAATTAACCCTTACATGCACTGTTAGGTGTCACTTTCAGGTTGGTGAAAACCCAAAATGACTTTAAGTGTCATCTATCTTAGCTTAGGGGTTCCATTATATTTGGAGAGGTTGTTGAAAAAAGGCATCAGTTTCCTAATAATGAGAGAATTTTTCAAATCAGTCCAGTAGTTTCAGAGCCTATTCAATGCAAATACATAAATAAACAAATCTTTCCTTTTGGGGATATTCGTTTATATTACGTCATCCATTATAATTTTCCTGAACAATAAATTATTGATTTATTGACGGTACTTGTGTATGATGACTGTATAAACATCATTGCTGAGTTTTTGTTGCATCGTTAAACTTATTTAATTGAGTATGTAGCAATACTTTATACGACGAAATTATGAACAAATCGGTAACTTTGTGAGGTGTTAAATAACAAAAGTATTGCAGCGATAAGCGATGAATCATTTGATTCGCTTTTATGATTGTTCTCGATTAAATAAGTTTGCGGTTTACACTTGTAGGTAAGTTTTGGTGACCGCAGATTTACTCCAAATAACTATATTGCACAAGATGTCGCACATATTGCGATGTTTTTTATTAAAGGATGGACAGTGTTTTGTGCTCTCACTTTTCGCCACTGGAACAGATCACAAATATTTATTTATATAGGAACTTAGACAAATCCCAATCCAATCTTACGTAGGGAAGGGAATGGGTTATTTAGGAAGAGTTAGGACCATTATTAAGATTAGACTATGTATGTATAATAAACTATTAGACTATTTTTCAAACTAGTAGCTTTTATCAACTGCAATTCGTTAGGCAACCGACGGAATAGTTAAACGTATACAGGACAGAGATAAAGCAAATGATATAAGGATTTCATTTCATGAGCACACAAACTATATAAACTGTTCATCTTATAGAGAGCAGAAGAGGACAAAATATTCAAAATAGCCTCTCGTACATAATTAATCGACGTCTTTCCTACTTTAATTATGAGCCTTAACTACACTAATACAGCTATAACAGTAACCACCCTCTTCTATCGAATGGTCGTAATATTTGTTAGGAATCAATAAGAATGTGAATTATACGCAAGATAAATCATTTAAGAATTTTTCAAGTATAACAATAAAATACTTTTCAAAAGAATGTCTTTATCATCGTGCACAACAAAACAACTACATATTATAATAAAAAGAAATGCAGAATATTTTAAAACGCTTTGTTTTATAATGAATATAGTAAATAATGCATACCTATAATTACCTAGTCGTAAACTGTTGGTTAATAACAATCAATAAAGTTAATTTTTTTAAATGGTTTGTTGAGATAATACTCTTATTATTTATATTAAAAAATCTAATTTATTAAATGTAAATCTAAATATATATATATGTATAATGTATATATAAATTAATCCCTTTTTCCCTTGGTCATGGCATCCCGCTTGAATGGCTGGACCAATTTCACTATTTCTTTTTTTGTTGTATTTGTTCTTATTAGGAGAAGGTTCTTATGATAGAAAAAAATCCTGAAAATGTTATGGGAACGGGAGAAAATGGGATTGCGCGTACGAAGTCGCGGGCAGAAGCTAGTACCCAATAAAACTAAACACCAATTTCCTTTGGTCATCGTATCACGAGTGAACGGCTGGACCGATTTCACTAATTACTTTTTACCGTGTTTGTTATATTTAGAATATTCTTATAAAAGAAATTTTGGAAAAATCCATCAGGGAAGTTGGAAATAATAATTAATAGTAATCATAAATTCATCTATAACTTCAGTCTATTTAACATTGTTGTCGTGAATCTCGACTCGAGTGGAACGATAGCTCTTGGCTTCATAGCTGGTTTCGCATAGAGTGGAGTTACCGCCCTGATGCGGAA